CCAGACTTCCTTTAAATGCTGCTCCCAGATTTTCATCGCTGTTATTTAGTCCCAGGACATCAGAGCTGGTGGATTAAGAACAGCTACAGCTCAGAAAATGCTGTCTTAGGAGAACTGGGAAGCTTTGGAGTGTCTCTCGTGCTGCTGGTGATCTAAACCAGGGCTGACCTTTGCAAACCCCTGCTGGGATCTGCCTCTTTCAAGTTTTTGGACTTTTTTTGGAGTTGGAGGGTTTCCATTTTGCCACTGCATTTCCCTGGCTGTGTCCTTGGATGAGCAGCTCTCAAGTCACTGTGATACTTTCTGGGTAACTTTTCACACACTTGCATGAAAACTTTCTTAGGAGGGATTTGATGAGAAACAAAGCTCCAGTCCAACCAGACCATCCATGACATGTAAATATGTGCATGAATTTACATTCTGTGTTACTCCAACACCAAAATCTGTGCTTAATTCTTCCAACACAGAAACAAGCATAATGTTTAAAACTGAGTTTACAGCTGATTCCATTTTAATGTGCATTTGCTCTGGGTTTCTCTGGTGTGCAATGGCAGGGATTGACATTCTTCTTCCTGCTTCTCCCCCCAAGCTCCCACCCCTACTCCCTGCTGAGCTGGGTTTTCTTCACTAGCAGGGGAAGGAACAAAAAGCAGACTGTTTAAGTCAGACTCCTTTCCTTGAAAGCCTATTCAAGGTCCAGGCTCAATGTTTCATCTCGAGTGCTATTGTTTAATTGAAAACACATTTGCACACTCGTGGATGGGATGCAGGGGGTGAAGCTCATGGATTTAAAGAGTGTTTTATTTTAAGTGTAGCTCAAGTACAGATTTGCAAACTCAGGGATTTGCTTTCTGTGGTGCTGTTTGAGGACTGTGTAGTCTCACTGGTGTCATTTTGCAGAGTTTTTGTACAACTCCACTGGTTCTTCTCTTGATGCCTCATTTTAATTCCTTCAGGAGTTGAAAAGCCACTTGAAAAATTTTATTCACCCCAGGAAAGAAATCAAGGAGCTCTGAGCTTAAATAGTGTCTTGTTTCATGATCATTTTTAGCCTGGCATAATTATTTTGAGTGGGAATTAGTCAGAATCCCAAAATCATTGGGGCTGGAAAAGCCCTCCCAGCCCATGGATCCCCCCTGTGCCCCAT